GCTGGGGAAACTAGACAGATGCTTGAAAAATGTATCTTGAACCATTCACAAAAAACAAATCAAATTGAGGAAACATAAAACCCAAACACAGAGAACTCTGAAAAGATAATGCAGGGAGAAAGATTTGTAACATTACTGTTGGAAATGATTTCATCCATAGAGCACCAAAAGTACACATACCATAAGCAAAAAATAGACAAATGGGGCTACCTCTGACTAGAAAGCTTCTGCACTATCAAGGAAATAATCAACAGAATTAAAAGGCGACCTACAAAACAGGAGAAAATATACGCAACCTATGCGTATCAGTCAGCCTTCTGTTGGCAGGACAAAATATCTGACATCCGTAACTCCAAGGTTTATGTTAGCTAATGGTTTCACAGGTTTCAGTCTGTGGTTGACTTGTTCCAAGGCAGTGGTGACACGGTGGGAGGGTGTGGCAGAAGGGAGCTGCTTGGCTCATGGCAGCCAGGAAACAGAGTGGGTCAGAATGAGCCAAAGAGAAAGAAGCCAGCGAGCAGATACAGTTCCCATTGAGCTGTGAACTCATCGGTGGGGTAACCAACCCCATTACGTCTCTTAATCCAATCACATTGGCAATCAGGACTAAACTCTGCAGCATACTTCTAATGCTGGGTTAATTTCCAGAAGCCATAAGTACGTAAGAATCCCCTATTATGTATTCAATAGCCCCCCCCAAAAAAACTGATTTAAAAATAGAAATGAAGTAAAGACTTGAACAGACATATCTCAAAAGAAGATCTACAAGTAACCAACAGATACATAAAAACATGCTCAGTGTGCCTAATCTTCACTGAAATACAAACCAAAATTCAATGAGGTACCATTTCATACCCATTAGGATTGCTATCAAAAAAAAAAAAAAAAAACCAGAAAATAAGACACCTTGGTAAGCCTGTGAAGATGCTGGAACACTTGTACACTGTTGGTAGTTTTGCAAAACAGTGCACATAATCTTCAAAGGAATAAAAATCCTCAAGAATATACAAAAAAAATGTTTGGCTAAAATGCATAGCCAACTTAAAATGCCAAAAGCTCAAGCCAAAAAAAAATGAGTTTGCCAATGAAATATGTATAAAACCAAAATACACATATGTTCAGACATATATTTATATAATAAATTGTCTTTAATTCTCAGGCTACATATTTAGAGTTATAATTAATCTAACATTCTTGGTCCTATATAAGATTAAATTTGGATTAGGTGAAATACCAGTGTAAGAAAAGAAATGTGTATACATTAAAAATGTACAGCTTTTAAGTATCACTTTAGTAGTTATTGTAATCCCAGAATATCTAATTATAAATAGCATGCTAAGCACTGCCAAAATTCTATATATGTTCTTGGTACTAAAATCAACATTCTAAAGTGATCTTGTGTGCATTGTTGTTGCTCAGATGTTGAGGATTGCAGCAGAAATCAAATGGGTTCAAATCCCAGGGCTAATGTGATTTTGAGCAAGCTATTTGAATTTCTGCATCGCGGTTTATTCATATGTAAAAATGATGATGTCAAGGTTGGCAGAGAACAATGAATGCCAATCTTCTCTTCCTTAGAGACGGTGAACAGCTGGCAGACAGGGACCAAACTGGCCCCATTATTACAAGGTTGTAATATATGGGTCTGTTGGAGCAAGAGACTTCCCCGTCTGCACTCCAAGAATAGGCACGCGTACCTTCCTAGGCTTGGGCAGTGCCGTGGTTTGGACATGCTTTCCCCTGCAGGCTCACATGCTGAGGTGGGTCTAGGAGACAGTGGGCTACATGGCGAGTGCTTAGGGCATTGCGGTGCACCCCGGGTGGGGAGGGGGAATGCTGGTCTCCTGGAGTGAACTCTCTCTGAAGCAAATGGTTATAAAGGCCGTAGACTGGCCCAAATCCCTTCCTGGTTTCCTGTCTGGTGTTTTCTCACTCCTACATGTGCTGCTGTCGTAATATCATTCACTAACAACCTCTCACCAGAGGCTGCACTGATCTTGGGCTTTCAGCCTCTAAATCTGTAAAGTAAGTAAATCTCCCTTCTCCAGAAGTAATCTGCCTCGGGCATTTCCTTATAGTAACATAAAACTGACTGGCTGAGGCAGTACTTAAAGGCAGCCCTGCCCTGTGTAAAACTCATACATATGTGTTGTGGACAAACAGCTCCCCAGGTAAGGGAGGAAGGAGCAGGCAGGTATGCCAGTTCCCTGCCCCAGACATCGGGTGACCCACTCCATCTCCACAGAGACAGACAGAGGTGCGATGTGAGGCCCAAAGTGTTTCTGAAAAAAATCTCCTTATGGTAACTGAGTCAGGGAGGAATGTCCTCATGTTTCTGTCAGCTTTATTTGAGAGTAAAATGAGGAGGTACATATAAAGTGTACCCCATTCGTGGGAGGAATTCAATAGCTGTCTGTATTACAATGCTGTGTGCTCTTCTTCTTAACTGTGTGATTACTAGGACTGTGATTATCATTTGAGCCCGTAGGCTAAAAGCCATCAGCCATGCTCTAATGATGTAAACTATGTTTATTGTTTTTAAATTTTAAATTTTTTTTTTCCAATTTTTTTTTCTTTTTCTCTTTTTATTGGTACCGGGGATCGAACTCACGACTGCCTGCTTGCAAGGCAGGTGCTTATGCCGCTGAGCTAAATCCCCAGCCCCTTAAATTTTAAATTTTGAGTTGTGATCTATTAACCCTTAAAGTTTGGCCAAATCAGTAACTGATATTATACAATTAAGAATTTTTCCTCTTGTTTAGTATCATATCTGTAAAAAATAATTTTCCTGTGTCTACATGAGATGATAAAAATAATGGGAATGTTTGGATTGTTTTTTAAATTCACTAAAATAAAAGATTGCTATTAATCACTTTCCAAGTACTCTATCGCACTCCAAACGCATTTACCCCATTGCTCTTGCCACTGTAGGAAACAGTTTTGAAGTCCTCTTTCCGGTCTTTCGGAGGTAAAATAAAAAATAGGATAAATTCTGCTATCATGTTCCAGCTGTAAAACAGGCTCATAAACACATTACACACATCTAACGCAGCACAATACACCAATGTTTACGTGTATCCTTCATTCAGGCAAATCAGGGCAGCTTGGCAGAGTAAACAGGCTTTTCTTACCATCAGATACAAACTTCTGACTCTTCTCCTCTGAGAGTGCAGTGTTTATTTATGTGTTCTCTTCACCCTCACTATCCTAAGGATGTTGTCTCTTTTGTGTTATAATCCTAATCTGAATACCTATAAGATTATGTTGTGTTTAAGCGCAAAATTTTCTAGGACACCATTGGTTTTCTCCACCACACTCTAAATCACAGTATTTCAGGTCTTCGGTTATTTAGTGACTCTGCTTTCCAAAAGCAAACTGAGATGTAAATATTAAGCCTTTTGCAGAGGTATAAATGTAATAGCAAAAGTTAGTCACCCGTGAGTTGATGGAGGAGCTCTAGGAATAAGGCAGCTCTCTCTCTTAGCAGGTGTTTACGGTGACAATCCCCGTGTGAAAGTTTTCCCCTCGTAGCTTGGCAGCCTCTGCTGGCATCAACTTCTTCGACTACTATTGCCTGAATAATTGATAGAGTTAAGTGAATGCAGGCTCCCTCTTTTCACCGAGTTCCCCTTGAGTGCCTCTGCAACATGAGGCAATTTATCATGCTTCGTGTGTAACAGTGCAAAGGCCTTTTAAAGAATGAATTTGAAACTTTCTCTTCCTGTTCACGGAGTAAGTTCTCAGGTTCAAAACCCTAACAGCCTGATTGGGATAGTTGGGGGGCACTATTAGCAGACCCAAGGAACTCAAGTCGTAGACCCCCTATGGCTCTTTTCATCTTGCTTCATTTTCCTTTGGAGAAAGACCCAATTACAAAGGTTTGTAGATTTTTCCATAGAGATTACCATCCGCTCTTTAGCAAGAAAAATGCTGCTGCAATTAGTGGCTCTGGGGAAGCATTAGCCACTTGTGTACTATTTTGGAAGAACCCATTGTGGGACCCACGGGCACTGCCTAGGGCTTCCTTTTAGAATACGAACACTTCTTAACCATTTGGAATACACTCACAATCAACAGTGATAGCTTCATAAGGAAGCCTGTGTTACGTATTCTAGATCAAAAGGTATCACAGCATCAGGGCCGCATATGATAAGGCCCTGGGTTTCTTTTCACTACCCTCCAGCTCCTGTTGCTCCTTAGCATCAATAATGTCCTCTGATATACTTCCAGAAAACCTGCTGCCAAAAGGAAGGAATATACAGCTTCAAGGCAGTTAGTTGCTTCCGAGGTGACATTCTAATAAGGAACCCACTTTTGGGTAACAGCCCAACTGGAGCTAATTCTCCACTCTCCCTTGTGGTCAGGAAACAGCATGCGTGAATAAATCAAATGTTCTGGGGCCTCGTGTGTGCTAATGTTTACTGTGGTGATGCAGATGTAAGATGTAACACTACTTCAGATTGATCATAGGAGAACTGGAAATAAGTATAAAGCCAGAGGGGGATATTATTTAATCTCTCATTGGTTGAGTCTGAGACTTTGCCGGTACTTCTTAGTCAGGATTGGGAACAGCTGTGAAGTTTCCAGCGGCTGTGCAAACCGTGCAAGTAGAGAAGGATCTGCTTTGTAGAATGGCAGAAACCAGAATTTATTATAGCACTCGAGCGTTCATGCAGAACATAATAGTCATGGCGTCCCACAGAAACCAACAGAGCCTAGACTATCCAAATGGCTTAAATTAAATATTCTAAAGTCTGGGAAACTTTTCCTTGCAAAACTAAGACAGCCAAGTAGAAGGAGTTTATACAGGGGGAAGAAAAATATATATTTTGATAATATAGTGTTTAAAATTTTTTTAACTTCTGTTATGCAACAGCCATCTAAAGTTTCAAAACCTTTTAAATGTATTGGGGGGAGGGGTATCCAACTGCACAACCATTTAGATTTTTCCAAGCAGATAAAAAGGATCAGATCCTTCACATTAAAAAAAGTTGACAATTGCAGACTCACTCGGCACTTGGCTGCAGCCTCCAGGCAGGTGCTTTTTCTGTCTGCCAGAGATCCATTCCAGGGAGCTGTAAAGGCCTTGACCTGTCAGGGGGGCAGTGCAGCTTTTTGGGAACATAGAAAAAAAAAAAAAGTTGACAAAAACCAGAAGGCAAACCTAGACATAGGACAGTGTCCTATCACCTAGAGACCTGGGATACTTCTGTGGGGGGTTGGGGGGAGCCTCACATTTTTTTCTCCAGAAGCCAGAAATACCAACCTTTTAGGTTTTGAGATTCCTCTAAGCAAGCTGTGGTGCACACCTAAAATCTGGGACACTCAAAGACTGAAACAAAAAGATGACAAATTCAAGGCCAGCCTGAGCAACTTAGCCAAAACCTGTCCTGAAATAAAAAACTAAAAGGGAACAGAGGGGTCAAAGGATCTAGTTCAGAGCTCCCTGAGCTGAGTACCTAGTACTGGAAAACAAGAACATTTTTTTCCTAAATATCTGACTTCCTTGGATAGTTAAAATTAAAATTCTGTTTCAACAACTTTGTTTTCATAACTTTCAGCAAAATACCCACTGCATAAAATACAGTTGTGTATTACTTCCTCTGTCTTCGCATATTGCTCACTTAAAATTCAATCTGGGAAGTCATTCGAGCGCTGGCAACTGGAGAGCAACAGTTTGCCAGTCTTGTTCTCCGCGGCTTCAGCTGCAGAGCGTTAATCCCTCCTTTGCTATTTTCATTCCAGTTTATGGCTCAGAGTTTCCCCAGATGGAAACTTTGGAGAAGGCGGTGCATCCTCTAGACAGACAGACCCTAAAACTATGCCTCTGGAGCTGCCCCGTCCCAGCTGGTCGTCACGCAGGCCGGATCACCTGCCTGAGTCTGCGTCCCTTGGGGATCTCTATGAAGTTTAACTAACTGTAGTGTCATTCTCCAAGTGATTACCATTCACAAAAAAAGAAAAATTTTCTTTTGGTTCTTTATAAGAAAGCCGTTTCCTTGCTGATGAAACATATTTAATAGGTTTTTTTTTAAAAAGCATTTAGAACTTACTTTCTCAGTACTGGGGATTGAACCCAGGGCCTTCATTATAACCCCAGTCTTGGCTTGTTTGTTTATTTTGCGTTGATTTGGGATATTTTGGTTTTGTTTTGGAGACAGTGTCTTGCTAAGTCACTAAGGCGCCCTAGTAGCTGGGTTCAAACTTGAGATCCTGCTGCCTCAGCCTTTCAGAGTGCTGGGATTGTAGGTGTGCACACCACACCCAGCTCAGAATATTTTTTAAATATCCCAATAATGTAGAAGTGTTAAGTACAGTCTATACTGCCCAAATAAAATGAATTTGACTCATGGAAATCATGTAGTTAAAATACAGAGATCATCTTAACTAGACAGTGCCTTTCAGGGTGCACTGAGTACTAAGTGCTGAGCGGCACAGAGGAATGGGACCCTGAAAATGTTTCCAAATCACCAAATTCACTTATTTAAATTATCCTCTCAAGTTCTTGTAATCTATTGTCTCCATTAAATGTCAGCTAAATGTGAGTCCGTCTTTAACCAGATTTACAACCTTGGGTAATTGTGGCATTGGTCTACATAAACTATTTCAATGTATGTCTAGGCATTACTGGTCATTTATCCATTCATTCATTTCCCCGTTTAATTGTGTTTTAGTGTCCACTTTGTGCAAGGCAGTGTTCTAGGTGATGACTCTTTGTGATGACTTTGTGTCCACTTTGTGATGACTCTCAATGACTTTCCTTAGAAAGCTTACAGGCCGTTAATTGAGATGATATCGGTAAATGAATAGCTATGATAATATATAAACAGCAGCAAAGCATCTAAGATAGGGATTGCTAGCAGCTGTAAGAGTTCAGGGAAGGGAATATTCTAGGTGGAGAAGAATTAGAGCTGCTTTGCTTTGTGGAGGGTGCTGCATTTGGTGTGGGTGTCAAAGGCTAGGTAAGAGAAGAACTTTTAGGGACAACCATGCAAATATTCCAGGTGGAAGAGAAAACAGAGACATCTAAAAATGTGGAGTCTTCTGCAGTTCAGCCCCAGGAGGTGGAGCATATTAAAGGGAGCCAGCTGGATGATGGAGCTTGTCAGTGCCTGAGAGGCCCAGCAGTGCTCAGTGGGTGGCCAGCAAAACGTTTTTTAGCAAAAAGGTCTAATCATGTGTAATCTGGACAAAGAAGGGCGGAGAAAGGCAGAGAGGTCAGAGTTCACTTTGACAGACTGGAGACAAAGTGGGGAAGTGATCCGTCCAGGCAAAAAGAAAACTGACAGATTGGGAAGATCTTTGCCAACTGTCCCTCAGACAAAGGACTTTTATCTAGAATGTATAAAGAGTTGAAAAAAATCAGGCCCCCAAATTTAAAGACTCAATCCAAAAATGGGCATCTGAGATGAATATATAATTCTCAGATAAAGAAATACAAATGGCAAATAAATATATGAAAAAATGTTCAACATCAGTAGTCATGTGAGAGATGCAAATTAAAACTACACAGAGATTCCATCTCATTCCAGAAAGAACAGCTAACATCAAGAAATTAACCAATAACAAATGCTTGTTGGGACTGTGGGGGAAAATGACCCCCTCTCCACTGTTGGTGGGAGTGTAGACTGGTACAACCACTGTGGAAATCAGTCTGGAGGTTCCTCAAAAAACTAGGATTAGAAATTCCATTCAACACAACTATTCCCCTTCTGGGCATTTTCCCAGAAGAATTGAAAACATCATACCACAGCGATATATGTGCACCCATGTTTATAGCTGCAAAATTTGTAATGGCCAGATCTTGGAGACAACCCAAATGCCCATCAACTGAGGAATGGAAAAAAAAAAAGATATGATATTTCCATACAATGGAATACTACTCAGCCATAAAGAACAAGGTTTTTACCTTCAATGGATGCAACTAGAAGCCATACACATAAGTGAAATAAATCAGATTTGCATATGTAAACACTGTATTGTCTCACTAGCATAAGAAACTAAAAGAATATTGTACTTCGGGTTTTGTTGTTGTTGTTGTTGTTGTTTTGGGGGTTTTGGGGGGGTTGGTATGGGGGATTGAACTCATGACCTTGCACTTGCCAGGCAGGCAATTACCTCACTGAGCTTAATTCCCCGGCCCCTAAAACTGAAAGAATAAATAAGATCCCAAAATTATAATAGATATAGTTAAAGAGAAAGAAACTGCTCAAAGGGAAATTATATCACTTGGTCAGTCTTGCATGCCTGTGTCTGGTAACTTGAACAACTATTTTGAAAATAACAATATGCACTGTAACGACCATTATTAAATTCCTCTCATCTTGTTTTAAATCCTGTATCACTATTTTTTGCTGTTGCTTTGTCATTTTGCTTTTATTGTTGTTTTTTATTATTGTTTGCTTCTTGATTTTTCAGTTCTTTTCTCTTTAAAGTAAAAAAATTAAAAGACACGTCTAGGCAGACTCCACCCAGATGGGTCAGAGCGTGGCCTCATGTGAGGAGCACAGGCAAGGAGAGGAAGGAGTCGTAGGGCTCGGAGGGTTAGGTCATGCCTGTAGGAGAACGTGGAACACTGCAGCAGCGTTCTCGGGTGGCCTTCCTGCTTGTCTGCCCTCTTGGTCTATGTCTGCTTCGTGTGCTGTTTTGGAAAAGGAAAGAAGGCATCCATTTCTGTCTTGCTTGGTAAATTTCAGTGACACATCAGTCATACGGTAACCCCTCTGACCAGCCTCAGGAACTGTTTGATCCTAGTCATCACAGATCTCTCCCTTGGTTATGGCATCATAGTCTTCCTAAGTTACGCACCCTAGAAATAACAGCCAGCTATGATACGTAGTTTTACCTGCCCTTCAACCTAAATATAATAGCTTCCTCCAAAACCCAATGACCAGTCTCCATATTGCTCCTTATATACTGCAAGCCTCCTTCCAACCTCAGGACTTTTGCACATGCTGCTCCCTGGGACTCTCCCCTAACCCCTGCCAGTCTCAGACAGCTGAGTGTTTGTCTATTTTTGACCTCGACTTAAATTATATCCCTTCCAGAGCCTTTCCCTGACCACCTTTATTTTTATCTGAGCCTAGTTTCTTTCCTACTTAGTACTGATTATGAATTAAAACCATTTTATTTGTATGCTAATGCATCTTTTTTGCTTCTCTTCCAGATAAAACATAAGCTATATAATGATATAAACCTTGTACCTGTTCATGACCACTGTATCCTTAGGTCCAAGAACAGTTCCTGGAGATGACCCAAAATTGTTTTTAGATGAATGAGCGAATGGATGAGTAACCACCTAACCAGAAATCTCTACTTAACCTAAAAATATGATTATACCCCCTAAATAATTCAATAATTAAATATAAAAAGTGGCAACAATACCCACTTATTTTCCTTAATGTTCCAAGTACCATGGTGCTATAAAAAGCAGCCATCTGATCCCATAGCGTTACTTGGGAAATAGAACATAAATATTTTTCTGAATTTCTTAATTTCTATAAAAGCTTGTGAGGCTGCTGTGTGTTGCAATATTTTTCGGTCTTTTAAAAAATGAAACAGAATGGCAACTAGAGTAGAAATAATCAGCCTGCATTGCACAGGGCAAAGATAGTTTCAAAAAACTTTTCTGTATGTCAGAGGTGGGGGGATCACAATGTAAAATTGTTTTTCACAGTGATTCAAAGTCAGTATGCACTCTGTTGTTTTCCCTGTTATCCTAATCCCTTATCTGGTGCTGTGGTAGCTCTTCAAAGCCGGCCTTGAATTGTCATGCTGCGGTCTTATGATTCCTTAAGGCCGGTTTGCAATGGAAGCCTTCCCATAAATGCACACAAAAATTCAATTTCTGAAGATTTTCTCCTAGATCAATCTGCCTTAATCTCTCTCAGGATGCGTGAGCTTACTCTAAAGTATATTCCCAGAGTCTTTTTAGTGCAAGTGCTGGGTTGTTTTTAAGTTAACCAGGAAAACAGTGGTGAGATCTGCTACTCTCTAAAACAAGAAAAAAACTGAAACAACGATTGACAAAACAGTAGAAAATCTTGCTAAAATAAAACGTGTTAACTGCTTTTTCTTCTTTTGTTTTCCTCTCTCCCCCCAAGCTGCCTGCCTTGTGCTCGGTTGCATGATTTTCCCTGATGGCTGGGATTCGGATGAAGTCAAACGGATGTGCGGAGAAAAGACAGACAAGTACACTCTCGGGGCTTGTTCGGTCCGCTGGGCATACATCTTGGCTATTATTGGAATTTTGGATGCCCTGATCCTCTCGTTTCTAGCATTCGTGCTTGGAAACCGACAAGACAGCTTGATGGCAGAGGAACTGAAGGCAGAAAACAAAGGTAAGACTGCTTTGGGGAACTATAAGCAGATGCCTCAAGCACAGACATGGTGCTCTCAGCTTTCCCTCCTGTGGGCCCATTTACTGTCTTTTCATACTGTCTTTTAACTCCCAGACTTCCCCGACTCAATGCAAGAGCTGTGCGCTGTTAAAGTACCTGTCTCTCCTGCTTATCACCTGAAGGCACTTATCTTTCTGTGGCTTCTTCTGTCCATTTTTATTACGTAAATGCGTTTCGTTCCAGTTTCTTCTTTCCTCTTTTTCTGATTTCAGATTTGACCTCGGCAGTTAATGACTATGATGCAAACATTGCAGGGAGAGCTGTTTCTTTAAAAGGAAAGGTTTCCCTTCAATGTATTCAGCTATTTTCTAGGATGAAACAACATGCCTGGGAAATCTCTAAAGTCATCGTAATTACTTTATTTGAATTCAAACTCATCTTCTCTAAGAGAGACGGTGATCCTGGTCCCAAATAGAATTTGCAGTGTTGGTGGAATTAGCTGAATTTTAAATGCATTATCTGGGTAATCAAAGGTCCTCAGATTTCTTTTCAAAAGGAAATCACCCACCGAAACACAATGAAAGTAGTAGAGAAAACAGGATCTTGACCGGTGCATGATGTGTAAACATATGACAGGGGGTCTGTAAGAGGTGCGAGTCATTTATCAAGAAACGTCTTTTCATTTTCTTTACATATTTAATTTCTTGGGGTAGAACTTTAATGTGTCAGGATTGCATTATGGATGTGGATTTTATAACTGTTTCCTCTTGGTGTTATCCTTAACTTTAATACTTTGAACTTCTCAAGAGAATGAGGCAGAAAGATAGCAAGTTTGAGGTTTGAGGTCAGCCTGAGCAACTGAGCGAACCCTGTTTCAAAATGAAATACACAAAGGGCGGGGTGTGGCCGGGTGGTGAGTCTCAGGTGTGAGATCTTACGTTCAGTGGCCAGTCCTGGGGGCACATGCGACCTACCTTTAGCATCTTCAGTTGAACGGCTTCTTCTAAATGTTGTTCCTCCTTGGGAACTCAACTTATCCTTGAATTATGAAATTTCATTTATTATTTCAAGAAATTGCCAATTTCAAAAACGCTCCACTGTTTTAACAGGCCTCCAGCACGAGCCTGGATGCCAGCTTCGCATCTAGACCGTCACTGTAAACCAGAGAAAAGAGGACCGTCTAGGAAATCACTGGTCCCCAACCCCGGCCCCCTGACTGATAGAACACGTGGTACTCAGGCCTATTCTCAATTCAAAAATGACTCACAGGGAATAGTGCTAAAACTTTCTTAAAACAAAACTGCCTCCCTCTCAGAGCTGCCCCTCGTAGACCAAAAGACAAAGACGGTGACGCTACTACTGATGTTGTACCTTCGTTCCTTTGACTTGTGCTCCTGAATCTGCTGCTCTTCGCTGTTCTCTCTGTGGCTTGTTGGGTGCACACAGGTCTCTAGAAGCTCACTTGAAGTTAAAGGGTAAGGATGCTCAAAATTAGAACAAGCTACCTATCCTGAAAGAATAAAGAAAAGACTACTTGGTTCTTCACGTGCTTGACTTCCACCACCACCTCCTAGTAGACCAGACTCTATCTCCTCCCTGTAAAGTTTTTTTTATCGGTACCAGGGATTGAGTTCATGACTGTGTGCTTGCAAGGCTGGCGCTTATGCCGCTGAGCTAAATCCCCAGCCCCCTCCCTGTAAAGCTTGAAGTTACATTGAGAACCTTTGACTTCCCAACCACCATTTGATCACAAATAGAAAAAAAAAAATTTTTTTTTTCAGAAAAAGGAAGACAAAAATAAAGCCAGGAAATTTTTTACTCACGTATATAAATGCCAGTTCTCTGGAATTCATGCTTCAGAAAGGTGTGGCCAGGATTATAGGATAATAATTGTTTTCTAAAATGACCTTTTTTCTCTTGGGTGATTCCGTGGAATGTTGATATCTGATCCCTTCCATCTACAATGGGCCCCATTAAACATCCTGATAGAAGTGTTTATGGGAAACATTCAGGGATCACCTGTGTGTAATTCTTCTGTGTCCATCATTGTGTCCATCTGCATCCATCACCGTTGTTTTTGCCATCTTGTCCTGAAGAGTAAAATCCTGAAGACTAAAATCAGTATCAGGTCATCTGTGTCAGACCGGGTAGGTCCAATAAAGCACCAGAAAACATGACACTACCCTGGTGAAAACTTTCAGTCACACTGCAGGTTTATTTCTCAATCTGAAGATTGTAACCTGAGACTCTAAAAAGATGTGAACAGCTCTGTTATGCAGGCATGGCAGACTACGTGGTATAAATCACACCAGGAACAGTAGGCCGAGCAGAAAATGTAACCAAGCCTGCATGCTTTTGAGAAACCATATAGGCTTTTCTGTTGTTCAAATTAGCCTCTATTGTTTGATACTATTTTTGTTTGCAGATTGTTACAAATGTTTCAACATTTGCTCAATATCAAAATTTCCAAAGTCAGAGTATTTAAGACCAGTGTTTTCATATGGTTATGTATGAACATAGTTTCACTAAATATTAGTTTAATGACTTTTAAATGTCTACATGCACTAATCAAAAGTAAGTCTTTCCTATACTCTAAGGAAAGAGAGATTGGGTTTAACCAAAAGATTAGAATAATTGGTAATTGTGAAATTGATTATGTTTAAATGGATGCTTTTACAGTTTTCATTAATTTAACTAAGCCAGTGTTTTACTTATTAAGATATTCTTTTCTCTATGAATTTTTTTCTGATAAAACTATCAAGATGTTCTTTGGTAGCCAAGACCTCATTTTGGTTTCTGGACAATGTGAAGAAGCAGAGACAAATCCAAGTCTAGCTCAGAAAGGTAAATGAATTCATCATCCTGATGATGCCTTCTCAGGCCATAGAAGCAGGAAATGTTGTATCTCAAGGCTGAACTCAAAAGAGTAAGGCATTCATACATTCCTAAACTGATTACATCACTACACACACACTGCAATGCTTTCTACATTTTTCTTCCAGTTTTACAGTCCACCAATCAACCTACAGCCTATTAGCAGGAGCATTAGAGAGAATAAGCCTGCAGTTGTGGCCCCTAATCTGAGGTTTACCCTAAGAGATCAATTTTTTTCTTTCTATTTCTTTTCTTTTCTTTTTTTTTTTTTTTTTAAATAAATAACACGGTTTCACTATGCAGTTCAGGCTGGCCTTGAGCTCACTTTGTAGCCCAGGCTGGTCTTGAACTTGTGATGATCCTCCGGCCTTAGCTTCCCAAGTGCTGGGATTGCAGGTGTGCACCACCATATCCAAGAGAGATCAATTTCATGCCATGGTTGTATCTTCTTTTTTGGCCATTGTAGTTAATCCAGAAACACACCTCCCCCATTCATCTGGAAGATGAACCTCCATTACATTCATGTTTTTTCTGTGAAACATCATGGCAAAGACCTTGCTTAGATCCATAAGCCTTCTAAGCAACTACCCTAAAACACAATCAGTTACATGAATTCTAGAATACATCAGAGAAAGGAAGGAACTAGTTCTAAATGTTAAACTATGCTCCACTCACAGCCTTGAGATGAAAGAGAATATGAGATTCTATTGAGCCATAAATTAATCATCAGAAAGGTGTTATTCAGAGAAAGCAAGGCGGAAGTACACAGGTGAAAATCTCCACTTCTGCAGACATTTCCAGTGGACTCACCCAATTCCATTCCCACAACTCCCTGTAATGCTCCCCCGGTGTTTTGTAACTTATCTCCTTCCCCCAAAATGCGAAGATCATTTGAAAGAAGCTTCAGCTGAAATGTATCATACACTGTGAAATGGAAAATTTGAAATAAAAGAATTTTAACAACATTTCAGATGGAAAGTAACAACTTTGAAGGTGCAAGTGTTAGAGAGGAAACCTCTATAAAACTTTAAAGTAGTCATCTGAGGAGCACCATTAAAGTGACAAAATATGTTTTATGCCACAAAAAAAAAACCCTAGTGAAAAACAAAGAGAAGTTTAAATTCACTTATGCAGGAGTCAGCACATACAAAAAGATGGAAAAAAAAGAATACACCTCAACTGCTTTCTCTAAACTGGAGGGACCAGCCCTGCAGGTTATGTGCCATCCCTGGCTTTGGTGACAATAGGGACAGGCAGGTGCTCCTTCTTGTTTAGAAGTTGAGCAGCATGATTTCTAAATGAGCCGACAACAGTAGGCATTTAACCTTGATATGCCGTTTAATTGCATATTTTAACACACTGAACTGTGAAGTCAATTTAATTATGTAAAATTAAAGTTTCATCCAGATAAAAAGAGATTGAAAGGAAAGCTTCAATTTCAATTTCTTTTATTAATTGTGAAAGGATAAATAATTACATTTTCCAGAGCTCCTATGCCACAAATCTCTTTTTTCCTTGTCAGACATCATTTATAAAGAGGTCTGTTTCTACACTCGGGCGTATGGTCTTTGGAGTTTCTTATCAGATAATTGGGTCCTCTCATGAGCAGTTTTAAAGTCACTTTTGTCCATTAGCCCTGAAACGGCAAATGAAAAAACATGATGATCTATCAAGAGGTGACTTAAGCTACCATTTATTTATTAAGTGGTTTAAGCACTTTGTAGTGCCATAATAGGGGAAGTTAGAATAAATTCCTTTTACTGAACTAATTAGGAAATCCTTCACAGCTGTGATTTTAGGGATCACATCATGCCCAGCCACATGGAGAGTAGCAATGTGGTCACTGGGAAAGGACGTGCACTTGGCTTCAAACTACCCTATGCTAGTACCGTCCTTGACACCAGCCGGGATCAACTTCTTAATTCCAGAATTAAGTTTCCTGGTCTGCAAAGTGCAAGCCTTGTGCAAATGGCATCTGTCATTATTTCCAGCTCCACAATATTACAGTTCACACACATCTTCAGATGCATCCTTTGACATGTTTGCAGCAGAGCTGTAATTCATACATCTAACCATTCCCAACCACTTATGGTCCTACCATGATTATACCAGGGGTGGCACAGGAC